AGGCCATCCAACTTTGGAGGACAGCTTTTAGAGACATTTCAGTGTTCAGTAAGGACAGAGTTTGCTGGCTATCATTTAAGGCTTATTGGACAGATTCAGTTAGGGCTTCTATGTGTGCTGTGACATCCTCCAGGCCAATGGAGGGGATAAAGATGACAGCCAAATGATTGTATCAGTGGAAAACAGAACATGCCCATATGGCCTCGAGGAGAGGGAGGTTGGGGGCATTAGGAACTTGACCAGTTCTGCACACCATACATGCCAGGGGAGGCAGCACTGTCAGGTGTGAGGATATGGCCTAGGACTCCTGCCTTCTCCCCTCTTTCTATGGTGCACGTTCCATTCCAGGCAGAGTGCGTTTCAACAGGTCTGGCTCACACCAAGACAACAGGATCCCAGTGGGGATTGAGTAGTTCCCCTCACCCAGGGGTGTGAAATAACTCACCCATCCCGGTGGGATGTCCTATTGCAAATTCCAGTAGTTAATGCCTTTCCCAGGCGGGATGGGGCTTGGTGTTCTCAGCAGCATAGCACAATGATCCACAGTGAGGGTCGGGGCAGTGGCTATGTCCTGCGACTTCCATACCTTGACAGTGTTGAGTGTCTCGGCAAGGGTCCCCAGTCTGGCATATGGGACAATAGACCCTACTGGTTGATCATTCAAGTGTATTAAAGCCTGGGACAGTACTTTAGTCCACCTGGCCAAGGTGGTTTTACCTGTTAGTAATTTAATCTGCTGGTTTAACGTTCCGTTCTTCCTTTCTCCCAGCCCTGCTGCTTGCGGGTTATAGGGGAGATGGAACCTCCATTCAGTGGCATGTTCTTTTGCCCAGTCTTGCACATCATGACCTTTGAAATGTGACCCCTGATCACTGTCTGTTCAACAAGGGTATTCGTCCATAGTACTCAGCTTCTCAAATCCTCTAGTGGTGGTAGTCTGGTTTGTACAGTGACAGGGGAAAGCTTGGGTTAGGCCAGACACAGTGTCCACACAAACCAAGGCATATTTAAAACTCTCCCTTGGAGGGAGGGGGCTAATATAATCAATTTGCCAATCCTTCACTGGTTGGGAACTCTGGTGGATGGCCCCAGAGTTGGGCAGCTGCCTTGGGCATTATTTAGGACGTTCTGTTACTACATTAACCAAGTCACTGTATTTCAAGGACAATCCGGCATCCTTGGCAATATGCCATCCTACCCAGGCATTACAGTGGCCGTTCTTTCTTATGCACCAAATCTGCTGTATTTACTGAAGGGTTAGTTGCTAAGGCTCATTCCTGGGCTAAGGCATCAGCTTTGTGATTGCCAGGGAATGTCAGCTCCTTATAAGCTGGGACGTGGAAGGCAGCGAGGATTGCCTCAGGCTCTTGTAGGTGAACCCAAATGTCTTTCCACATATCTTGACCCCACAAGGTCTTTTTCATGGTCATCCATCCACACCTTAGCTTCTCTTTTTCCGAGCCAAAGGGTTAATCCCTTTAGAACAGTCCAACTGTCAGTGCAAAGGGATGATGGCCAGGGCTCATGAGTGATCACCAGCCAGACTGGTCTGAGTTGAGCCCACTGGCTTCTTGCTTCCATCCAGATGGGGTCAGTGTTGGGCAGAATAGCAGCTGCAGTTCATGCGGGTGGGTTGCCCTGACTAGACCCATCTGTGTACCAAGCATCTGGGAATTTCCCCCATTTGCTCTCTATAGGGTGCAGGGGCTGCCACAGGAATAGGGGTGGGGGCATTTGGAGGATCTCATACTCCACAGGGCCTAGTAGTGCCTGCATTTCTAGAGACAGTAGCCTGGCAGACAGGGTGCTCCTCTGCTGCAAATGGGCATGCCACTTAGTCAAAGTGGGAGTCTGAGCCATGGCAGAGGTGGGTCGATGGAACATATGCTCAACCCACCCCTTGGCAGGAAGGGAAGTTCTCACCATGCTATGCTGCTCCTTCGTGAGAGGCTCTGCCTGGAGAAGTGCTGTGCACACCGCTAGGAACTGTTGCCAAAGCTGTTGGTCCAGCTTTGGGCCAACTGGTGGTCATGTCCTCTCGATTACCTCCTCCAACAGATGACCACTTCAGATGGAGCCATCACGTGTCACTGCAGGATCAGTGACATTTGAGGATGAGGCTGAGGACTTCACCTGGCAAGAGTGACAGCACCTGGGTCCTGCTCAGAGGACTCTGTGTGGAGATGTGATAGTGGAGAATTATAGTTACCTGGTCCATGGGCAAGGAAGGCTCCCCCAGGTAATTTGGTGTTTACAGTTATTGTGTCCTACATAGTACCTTTTATTTTTAGGTTTTTGAAAGCTATCTTTCTTCCTGAACCTCAAGTGTCACTGATCCTGTGATGACATATGATGACTCTATGTGAAGTGGTCATCCTGCATGATGAGGAAAAGATATGAGGGAACTCTTCTCTGTTCACAAAAACGATGCCTGCATTCAAATTGGTTTTTGTTACACGTTGGAGGAGAAACAATAATCTATTTAGAGAAACTTCTGCTTTGGGTGATGACAGAGAAGCTTTTAGCAGACCAATGTTCCTGCTGAGAACAACTAAAAAATTCAATAAAAGACAAAAAATATTTATTTGGAGGCATCAGAAAGCTGCTGAGGCACTTGAGATTTGAGAGGCCAAGATGCCAGAGAATTAAAAAACCAAGGTCATCAGACCAGATGAGGACCAAGCCCAACTATAGCATATGCTCCCATAGGAGACATAGCTTTCTTCAGTCCTGCCCTTAGACCCTGCAAGTGGAGACTCTGGGCCCTGTGTGCATGCCTGCCTCTAAATTTTATAAGCCTCTCTCCAGTGCCTGAAACTAGCTGGGGCCAGCGCCCTCCGGGCAGGTCACTAGGCCTGGTTCTAGTACTGCAAGTAGATTGCTCTTGCTGCATGGCACCACATTTCCTTCGTGGGCTCTCTTGAGATTAGGCCACCAGAAAGGTGCCGACATGCTGATTTTGGATGATGCTCACATTGAACATAGGACGTGTTCTGGGCTCCGGGCTAGAAGGGTCCACCACCAACCCTTGGGCTTGACCTACATGTGTGAGCCCAGGTATCAGCTTGTCTGTCAGCGTTCTGACTGTAGTGCCACCTCTGTCTTCAGCATCCAAGAACAGTGGGGTGCCTTACTATGAAAAAATGTGGAGAGGAAAAGGATGGAGAAAGATATACCATGCAAAGACTAACCCAAGAAAGTCGGTGTGTCTATACCAATATCAGGCATAGGGATGTGAACCTCCAAAATCAGGATATTCATGAACACTATGGAGAGAGCAAGGTGAAAGAGAGAAGGGAGATGTACAAGGAAGCTTCGACTGCATCTATCTGTAATGGTGTATTTATAAAAGTAAGAAATATCTGAAGCAAATATGGCAAAATATAAAGATCTAGTAAAACTGGGTAGAGTACTCAAGTGTTTTTCTCTATACCTTTTGGTTTGAAATATTTCATAATTTCAAAAAATAATTTAAAAATAGACTAAAAATTAGACAAATGCTAACAAAATAATGAGAAGTGGATATAAATTTAAAGGCAAAAACATTAAGCAGGACAAAGAAGGATATTTTATGTTAATAAAAGAAAAAGTTCATTAAAAGACATAATGGTAATGCATGTTTATGTACTTAACAAAGATTTAGCATCTATAAAGCTGTTGAAGAATAAGGGGGTGACTTTTCAATTACAGAGACAGAAATTTATACACTTCTCTTAGATCAAACAGACAACAACGAGACAACTTGCTTGAAGAGCACAATTATTAAGTCTGCTCTATGTATGACGCGTGGATATGGGTGCACATATACATATTTAAATCCAACAGTGAATAAACAGGAAATATTTACAAATATTGATTACTGAGTAGACAATCACAAAGAAAATCCCAACAAATCATAGGGACACTTTGTGCAAGCACAATGCAATAAAATTATTTTTGTATTAAAGGAAAAAAATCAAAAATGAAATTATGAACAGTTTAGAAATGAAGAACAATGAGTACACATAAAAAGAAAATGCACATATTTAATGCATACATTATAAGTGGAATCTAGAAGGAAATGAACCAAACATTTAATGTAAAAACAGCAAAATAAGTCCAAACAATGTAAAAAGTAGGAATTAATAAGGATAAAATGAGGTATTAATAGGACACAATATTAGGTTTCATTAACAAAATCATTAGAATAGATAAAAAGTCAAAGATCAAAGACATCTGATTAAGAAAAAAGATAAAAGGAACATTAGGAGTGAGAAAGGGAACATTAGACACACAAGAGAGATTTTAAATAAGAACCCAATCTAAGGTTTCCAGTTAAAAAGGTAAATTGGCCACATGTACTTACCCCTTCTTCTCTCCTGAGACACAAATAGACTACCTTTAAAATAATATTTTTAAAAATTTATAACCCACAACTAAGAATATACAACTATGTACCGGGGGGCTTTGGGGAGAAAGGAAAAAAAAGATCTAAAAAAAAAAAAATTTATAAACCCACTAGAATGAAAGTAATGGAAGAGGCATTTCCATTCATGTTAAAAATCTAGCAAACTAGAAATAGACAAGAACTCCCTTAATCTGATAAAGAGTCTCTATTTAAAACCTATAGCAAACATTCTAGTTAATGGTGAATGAGTACAAGTTTCTCTTTAGATTAAGAGGAAGAAAAGAATATCTGTTATCACTATACCATTTCTATTCAGTATTGAATTGAATATGCTAGCCAATGCAATAAATTAAGAAAGAGAAATTAAAAATGTAAGGATAGGAAAGAAGAAATAAAACTGTCAATTTGCAGATGACATTTTTTGAATGTAAAAAGGTTTAAAAGTATCTTCAGATTAGAATTTATAGGTGAAATTACTGAATAAAATGTCAATATATAAAATCGTATACATACAATTGTATTTCTACATATCAGAAACAACAATTAGAAAATGAAAGTTTAAAATGATGCAACTTACAATTGCATCAAGAAATGTAAAAAAAAGCAACTAGGAATAAATTTAATAAAATATGTATGAGACCTCTGTAGAAAAAATTATAAAACATTATTGAAAGAATGTAAAGACCTAAATCAATAGTATACAGCATTTACTGGAATATTAAATATTGTAAAGATATCAATTTTCTCTCAAATAATATTTAGATTCAATGTACTCCCAGCACGCTTTCTGGAGAAATTGACAGATTCTAAAATATATATAGAAATGCAAAGGACCTAGAATGTCCAAGATAATTGTGAAGAACAAAATTGGAGGACGCATACAACCTGATTTCAAGACTTACTATAAAGCTACAATAATTAAGACAGTGAAGTACCGTCGCTAAGGATAGACAAGTAAATAAATAGAGCAGAATAAATAATCTGGAACTAGATCTACAGGTGTATTCAGTCAAACTACGACAAAGGCCAGAATGAAAGTCGGTGGGGAAAATGATAGCCTTTTGGAACAAATGGTGCTGAAGCAACTGAATATTCATTTGGAAAAAGATGATCTTGATCATTATCTCACAATATAAAAATTAAAGATTGTTATATAAATGAGCCAAAGATGGCCCCTATACATTGGCCCTCTGTTATTTATTTCTTCACAGCAAGCCAGGACTATTAGCTCAAAGCTTGCTGGTGCCAAACTTAAATTTTCACACATCCAATTGCTTTAAATATAGCTCAAATAGCATTTCTAGCCATTTAGAGCCTGCCTGCTTTGCACATTCTGCAAAACTATATCCAACATCTGGTACCACAGATAAGATAAATCCTGGGGTCAGAAAAGCAGCCGCTGCCCTCAGAGCTCCCTGACACAGACTCCCCATCTTGCTGCTGAACAACATCACCTAGACGCCTTACCCCTTCTCCAGGTTCCCTCTCCACGGGGAGTTCCACTGCCTTCTTCCCTCTCCGGGTGGTAGCCCCATGCCACTGTCTCTGGAGGTCTGCTGCTGTGAGGGACTTCGGTGTCATGCAAATTGTCCCAGCACTGCCAAAAAAAAAGCTTGTTGAGTAATACTGACATCTCATGACCATGTCTCTTCTTTGATCAGCGCTCCAAATCTTCAAACTCACTGCATGGGGTGATAAGGATGGGACTTTGGTGATGACTAATAAATTGGCATGTCTACCTAGTCAGTAGGACATTCACTCGGCAAATTGGTCCTGAATGGCCTCCAGTGGGTGGGGCTCGAATCTGGAATGCCTCCATGTCAGTTTGGTGTGGCATTGCTCTTTGCAGTTGGTCTGTTTTTTGTGGTCTCCCCCTGTGCCTCGTTAGCCTGGCCAAGTAGTAACACCAGTATTTGAGTGAACCAACATCATTACCAAACTGACTTTGGCTTCAGAGATGCTGAGCTGTCCAGGGAAGGAGATCAGCTCACCTGCCTGGGTCTCTGATACTAGGCAGGTGCTGGACACCATAAGGCCCGTGGGCCTGATAGAACAAGGGGAGGAATGCACACCCCCTGACTGAGGGAGGGCTACCCCTGACCCCATAGTTGGCTACAGAAGGAGGAGCTCCCTGCAGCCAGGTCAGTGATTTGGGGTACTCTGAAATAAGAGGATGTCTTTGTCCCTGGGGACCACTAGGACAGGTAAACAAAGCTGAGAAGGTGGAGACATCAGGCTGAGGCCAGACACCAAAGCGCAGTTGGGGGGATGCATTTGCAAGCAGCTAGCATGTCCTAGCTGTTGTGACATTCAATTATTCTGTTGGGACTGTCATCATTCTAGCACCTGCCTGGAGGGATATCGAGATCCTAACCTTTGGGCTGAGGTGGCTAAAGCGTTACTTAAAGTGACTAAGGCAAGGAAGTTGACATTCCTGCCTCTCCCAGGAGGAGGCTGATGTCTTGCTGGACAGGGGCTCCCAACCATGAGAGGCCTCGGTCCCAAGTAGCTTCTCACCAGCATGCAGCCCCAGAGAGGAGGTAGGAGCCCAAACTCCAGGGTGGGGGCAGGACAAGAGAGAAGGGAAAACCCGGGGGAGGTGGAATGGCGCCCTCTAGAGCACCACCATGACAGTGCAGAGGATAGTCTACCTGCAGCCAGTGACTCCCCCCTCCCCCGTGATAATGGCTGAAGAGACAAGAGGGAGGGTCAGGAAGGAGGGGCCGGTTCTGATTTGGAGGAGAGCATCCTCTCTCGCCCTGAGGCCCAGTCCCTCCTTAAGGACCTGCCCCAGGAACCAAATGAAGAGGGGTGCCAGGCTGCACAGTGTGTCTGGTGGGGAGCGAGCTCCGCCTAACAGGGGCTGGCATCAAACAATGGGCTGCACGGGATGGGATGGAAGACTGAGCCCCTACTAAAGGATCCTGCAGTGAGTGGGCAAGGTGGGAAGGGCCCCGAGAGGCGGCTTTGGACCCCGAGCCACATATACCTTGTTGATGTGGATTTTTATGGCTCGGAGGGCCCCCCACCCTCCAGGAGGCCTCACCACCACCTGTGCGGGCTGTCAGTGGAAAACACCAGCTGAGGCCAAAGATCTCCATCAGCTGCGGACACTGGAGTGGGCTTATCAGGTAACAGATGGTGTGCAGGAGGGTGACTTGGTAAGTCAGAGGAGGCGGAATTGAGTCCAGAGTCCACGCAGTTGTTTCTCAGCGGGGAGGGCTCCTGACAAACACAAGTCCTCGCCACTAACAAGGATGGCGCACGTTAAAACTGTTCAAGAGGCCATGGCTGCCCTGGATTTAATACAAACTCGGGAAAGACAAACTCAGAGCCAGGCATGCAGGCCACCTGGCCTAAATCAAAATTGCCATCAGCAGCGCAGCCGCCCCCCTCCTAAGGCAAACAAACCACCTGCAGCCAGGCCTCCGCTTAAAAGCGTGAACCTGAGAAAACAAGATAGGTTATGCATTAGTCAGGATTCTCCAGAGAAACAGAACCAACAGGATGTATATAGAGAGAGAGGGATTTACCGTGAGGAAGTGGCTCCCGTGGTTTGGGGGGCTAGCAGGTCCCGAGATCTACGGGCCTTAAGCTGGAGCCCCCCGAGAGCCAAAGCTAGAGTTCCAGTCCAGAGACTTGCTGGCGTCAGGTCCAGGAAGCACCACTGTCTCAGTTTGAGACCAAAGGCAGGAAAAAACCAAAGTCCCAGCTCAAAGCGGTCAGGCAGGAGGAAATCCCCTCTCACTCCTGGGAGGTTCAGATTTTTGTGCGATTCAGGCCTTCAACTGATTGGATGAGGCCCACCCACAATGGGGAGGACACTCTGCTTTACTCCGTCTACCACTCAAGTGTTAACCTCATCCAGAAACACCCTCACAGACACACCCAGAGTAATGTTTCACCAAAGTTTGGGCACTCTGTGGTCCAGCCACGTTGACACATAAACTTAACCATCACAGATTATACTGAACCGAAAGGGACAAGAGGGTCCCAAATTAGATGTTCTGATAAATCAGTGGAGCAACTACAGTCCTCACTAGGGCTGGATCACGAGCTGCCACAGGCTTCCCCTTCAGGGGCAGCCTCCCTTTCAGGACCTGCCTCTGGTCTCGGCCAGTGGCCCGGGCCAGCCCCCACTCCAGGATCCAGCAGCCACGGAAGTGGGGCCCCTTGTGGAAGGCAAGCTCTTTCTATCACATTAACTGTAGTTTGGGCTCCAAAACCTAAACACACTGGCTGGCCCTGCTGGACACGGGTGCTCAGACCTCCCTAGGCCCAGGGAGCACGCAGGCTTTAAAGGGGCGCCCCGAAATGGAGATGACCAGCTTGGGAGGAGAATTAACTAAAGGGACAATTACCCACTTAACTATTAAATTGGCCCAGATTTGCTAAAAGATGCTTCTGTCCTGGTTGTCCCCCTGGAGACCATCCCTGTCCCCATTACTGGAAGGGACTGTCCCAGTGAGCAGGTAACCTCGTGGAAGAAGCCTAAGCCTTGTACACTGTCGGTGGGTGCCACCCCGTGGGAACCAGTTAGCATCCCCTACCTACCGACTGGGTGGGTGGTAAATAGGCCACAGCACCAGCGACATCAAGGCACTCAAGGATGATGGCCTGTGACGGCCGACGTAGCTAAAGAAGGGGCACCCAGCATGCCACTTTTTGATTCCCTGCTGTGGCCTTGCTACCGCCAGCGCTAATTGGTGGCGGCCAACCACAGCCTGTACCAGGCGCTGCTCCACCAGGCCTCAGTGCCTCGACGAACGACGTTCAAAGTCCCGGTAAGCGGTCTGGGCTTCCAGACTCGGCCAGCGCGTTCCCGCAGTGAAGCTACCACAGGAAAGTCAACCACAGTCCGCCTTCGCCTTGGGCTCGGCAGTGCGCCCTTTCTGGACGCCTCAGGGGACTCCGGTGGTCCTGCCACGGCACGCGGGCTCTGCAGACAGGACCCAGACGCCGGCCCTGCACGCCCACCAGACACGGCTTTGGCGTCCATCCATGACTTCCTCCTTCCCCGACCCGGGCAGGGCTCCGTGTCCTGTGCGTCACAACCCTGGGCGAGCCGTCCCTGAGAGAGGATGGGCGGTTGTCCCCCACACGCAGGGCACAGGGCCCTGCCAGTCTGTTAAGTTGGGGGCTGCGTGTGGAACCGAGAAGGGTGAGCTATTTCCGTTCTGGTGAAAGGTGAGCTCCCAGGGCCCCCGCCCCCGCGTCGGAAAGCAGGCCCAGCATGTGGCAGAAAAGTTTGGCTTCTGCGCCCAGCACTTTCCTCACCGCTAATATTTGCGGGAGCCCGTCTAGAGGGTCACCCGTAAGTCTTCCATTTTCAGTGGGGACCTGAGCCACCACCAGATAGATAAAGGAGGCCAGCACGTCGGCTGCCCTACTCGTGCCCCGAGGGCAGGACTTACAGTTAGAAGTTTCTGCCACCTCCAAATTCACTTCCTGGGGCCTCTGGACCAAACTCCCACCCACAGGCTTTTACTGTAAGGGCCTCCGAGTCTCAGGCCAGACATGCCTGCCACTGGAGACCCACCTCCTGGCAGCGCACACGGCACTTGTGGAAACTGAGGCCCTTTCTGGGGCAGAGCCAGCGACCCCCCAGACCCAGATTCCGAGTTCGCCCCAATAGTGGAGAAGCTCCCCGGGGAACTGGCTCGGCCTCAGAGGCCTCCTCCTCAAAGTGGAAACGGTATCTACAGCGTCGCCCTAAACCTGGCCCTGCTAGAGTGCCACCGAGTCCATGAGGAAACAGCCACCACCCTGCCACTGAGGCTACCTTGCCTAAACCCCGGAAATGCCCCTGCCCCTTGCAATGGGGATGCCAGGGAGGAGGGTCAGTACTCTCAAAACAAGGAAAGCAACGGTCCTCCTTTCCCAAAGGAGTGAGCACAGGGTGTAAGGGACCGGACAACGGACAGCCGCAGCCTGTCACCCCCAGTCGAACGCTCCACAGTCCATATGGGGCACAGAGCAAAGGGCCCCGTGGGCTGAGCTGGGCGCAAACTCCCAGCAATGCCATGGGGGGTGACAAGCGTGTGCCCACGGTTCACATCTTACTGACTCCTGGTCGGCGCCTGAGGAGCTAAGGCCTTGGTCAGGACCTTGGCAAAATCAGGGCCGGAAAATAAAAGCTGAGGCATCCGGGATACAGAGGGCTGAGGAAATACCACACTGGCTCCCGCTCCGCCCTCTGGGTGCACCACACCTCGGCCCATCCCCAACAAAACACGGAGGAGGCAGGAACCCACGCCAACCTGATGGATTAACCGAACCGCCAAAGGAGGTGAGCCTCTGGGAGGAGGGGGCCCAGGTCTTGGGAGGAGCCACCTTCCCCTCTCTGCTGGTGGGCACGCGAGCAGTCAGGGCATTTGGGCATGACAGGTGATGAAAATGGATTGTGAATAGAAGAGCTGACGTGGCAGAGAGATGTTTAAACAAAGCCCTTAGCGAATGTACCAGATGCCGGGAACCTAGACACGGGGCCTGCTGCTTAGGAGGAAAATTTACAGAGGAGGAGAGCCACCTCAGAAGTGGCAAACAGATTTTATCGGGGCGCTCCCTGTAGCGGTGGGAGCTATTCAATATGCTTCA